TTTGATTTTAGAACTACATGATTATATTATCCATTCAAAAAAAATTTCTTCTCAATATACAAGATTTCTTCGGCCTGAAATTTTTTTTTTTTTGGTACCAGGAATCAAACTCCGACCCTTGTACTTGCGAGGCAGGCAGCGAAACCACTGAGCCAAATCCCCAGCCCCAGCCTAAAATATTTTAAACTAAGAAGTTTGTTCAAAGGAAAATAAATGATTCAATGGGCTAAATGAAAGTAATTTTGTTGGCCTAATTAAAAATATAATTTGAGGCCAGAAGATAGTTGCTGTTTCATTTAAAACACCATATAAAATTTCATTTTAAGAAATTTTTATTAGTACATGTGCTTAGTATATCAATCTTACCTATATTTCATAATTTCAACTATATCTTCAGCATCTTCTTTGGTTGCTTCCTCTCTTAATTCCAACCTTGCTCGTGCCTTTAAAAGAAAACAATCATTTTAAGCTAATAAAGATATATACATTTCTGTTATGCAGTTATGGTCGAAGCTTATTTATTCATTTAAATAAAATCTGACTTTTGCACGAAGAAAGGTATAATATTAAAAATCACAATTTTTAAAAATTAAAAAATTTGGAGTATAAAAGTAACTCACTTAAAATGTGGATAAAACTTGTTTGACATTACATCTTTTTCTGAAAGTATTCATTTCAGGAGATTTGACTATAAAATACACTTGCTTTAAGGAAATCATACCTAGCCAGTTTGTTAAAACAGATTTTAGGAACAAAAGTCCAAGTATCTGACTCAGCTGATGTTAGCTGCTGAGGATCTTAGCAATGCACGATGTGAAAGGATATGCTTGCTCTTAGCAAGTAGGCACTGTCCATGTATAGACCTGCAAATCCAATACTCAAGATATCTGACATATCCCAAGTTCTCTTTTGCTCAACTTGGAACCCCACATCTTAGTTAACCAAGTCAATTTTAAGACACTTCAGGAATCTCCCCTTGTTAAAAGGATGCAAAAGTTGCATCATAAGTAACAGACCCCGTGCCTAGGAGGATATACTTTGACAAATTACAGATATGACCAAATTTTTTTATAAACTTTTATCCACCAATTACTAATGCTTCTCAGCAGGAAGAGAAACTGTCAATTGTGGAGGAAATTGATCAAAAGAGAAGTCATACTACACCCTATCCCCTTCTTTAAGTTTAAAAAAAAAGCTTGGATATAAAAATAAACCTCTGTTAGCCGAATCAAAGACTCCAGCTGCCTGGTAGTGATTGGTGAGCTATTTAACCTCTGGCTCTGTTTCCGAAGCTCCAGGTAAAAATCTTGAAGAATTCGAGCAGCTTCTGCTGACAGCCTGGGGTAGACATACTGTCGAGCATAGCCAATATACTTTCTCAATAGCTGATGTGGAATTGGGTCTACTGTTTCTCCAGGAACCACCTAAAGGCAAGACAGAAAGGCCCAAGGTTATGAGATAAGTAGCAAATAAAATCTTCCTCTTAAAATACTTATTTAGATAATATAAGATCCAAAATACTTTCCAAATAAATCAATCACTGTAATTATAGCTGTCATTCTAATTGGCTTAAATTATTTCAAGTAAGTTTATATAAACTCCAGTACCACAGTACACAAGTTTTGGTAGAAAAGGTCTATACATTATTGCTGTACAGCAAATCACACACAGAATCTTCCTGGTTTTTGGTTTTCTGTTGCGAGGTGGTGCTGGGGTTGGCCCCCCGGGCCTTTTGCTCCCTAAATACGTGCTCCACTGCTGTTCTACTCCCAGCTTCCATCACACTGACCCTCAACACTCAAGTAGAACAAACTGAATGCTTATGAAGAAGCATGGATACCTTCAGTCTTTCCGATAACGGTTTCTCAGAAACCACTTCAAGTATAGAAGTGTTTGAACATTGACTATTCACACGAGCTACTGTGGCACTACTAACAGCTCTCTGCTTTCCAGCTCTTATTGCAATCACGTGTTCAGAGAGTAAGTGATCATGCTGCTCATTCGGAGTGTCTAACAGGATAAAGACCAAGTCGAATCTGGAGAGTAGGGCACTCCCCATTCTAGGGAGCATAAAGAAAAGGAAAAAAAAAGTGAGTGGGATCAAAATAACCAGAAAATATACAAAACTATTTACTTGTTTATTATCCAAGATCCATGCTAAAACAAAAAGCTTTAGTTTAAAGAAATAAGCAAATAGATTTTTGGATTTAATATAGCCAGCTACTCCAAACCCTTCAACATGTGCACAAGATTTATATGCACGTACCCTTGGCAGGTTGAGGACACGGTCCATTCTCCTACCATCAAAACCACTGAATTTTCTATGTTCTGTTATTACTGACAATGCCACATATTGAATAAGAGGTTATCTAACTGAGTAGTTCTTAAGTTTTTATGTCTTTTGTCTCATCAGAACACCCATGGCCCATTAGAACAGCCTACTTTTTCCTCAAAGGTCATCTACATGACTATTGGTCTTTAGAGCAAAATGCTATGTTCTATTTAGTCATCTTCTCTGCACCCACCAATCCAGGTCTCTAGTTGAGGCACAAAAACATGAAAGAGTGAGTGATGAATTTGACCAATGTATCAGAGCAGGTTTGTGATACCTCTAAAAACCAGAATCTAAGTCTCCAGGATTTTTGTTCAACAAGCGTTTTTTTAAAAATTTTTATTAGTATATGTGGTACATGATTATATTCAGCATGTCAAGTTGGTATGCATATAACACATCTTTTTTCCTCCCCTTCCCCTTCCGATCTTTAAAATATAGCACTTTGTTACTTTACTAAAGGCAAAATACTAATGGGCTAGCTTTTTTGGTGGTGATGATACAGAAATATTCCAAATCTCCAAATAAAACTGTACATTTTGTAATGTTTCAAAGGCTATTTTTCTAAGTGTATAAATTATTAAAACATTAGGAAATTAGCCATGCATAGTGGCGTACTCCTATATTTGCAGCCACTGGAGGCTGAAGCAGGAAGGTAACTTGGCCTCACAAGTTCAAGGTTACCCTAGGTAACATAGCAAAATCCCATCTCAAATGACAACAGAAAAATTAGTCCAGGCCTTGATGACACACACTTCTAATCACAGCTAATCAGGAGGCTGAGGCAGGAGGTTTGCAAGCTCAAGGCCAGCCTGGGCAACTTAGTAAGGACTTGTTTCAAAATTAAAAAGAAGTGAGGGAGGGAGGAAGAATAAATGTAGCTCAGTAGTAGAGCACTTGCCTACAATGTACCACGGCCTGAGTTCAAACGCCTGTACTGGAAGGAAAAGGAAACAAAAGGAAATCTTTTTCCACACTAGACTTAAGGTTTTAATTTTTCATATGAGGCACCCTTTTGTCTTTTCCTCATTTTTGCATCACTTAAATGTTTTCTTTCCATACATATTGTCCAATCTCAACAAAACTAAGTAGAAGAGAAAGCACACACTTACTTAAGATATGAATGCTATTTTTGAAAAAAGTGGGATCACACTACATATATAAATATGTAACGTGGTCTTCTCACTTAATAGTGAAGCATAAACATGTTTCCTTACCAGTACATATGAAACCAATTTCAACCTTGTGGTTGCTACTTTCCACTGTGCGTAGTCTAAAGTAATTTCTGATTTGGGTAGTGATAAACAATGCTGCAATATCCACCCTACCAACCTATCTTTATGCATTTGTTCCACTATTTCCATGAGCAGGATTCCTAAAAATAGACTGGCTGGAACAAATGGAATGCACATTTAAAACATAGTGATGAACATACCGAGTGCTCCTTCAAATATTAAACTGTGTGTATGAGAACCTATTTCCCCACTCCATTGCCAGCAATAATATTTAAAATATTATAGCTATCAATAGTATTTAATTTTTTGAATACAGCATTTACATACTTTTGTACATTTATTGGACACTTGTTCTGTGAACTATCCATTTGTGTGCTTGGTTCTTTTCCTTAATGATTTAAAGGTATAAATATTTGAAGATACTTACTTTAAATTCTCAGAAACTGTTTTGGCTTTATTGTAGTGTCCTCCAACTGGGTTTGCAGCAGCAATAACTGAAGTTCTTGCAGGGAGGCTACAAACCACACCAGCCTTTGCAAGGCTAATACTCTGTTGTTCCATGGCTTCTAACAAGGCTTGATGTTGGTTTCCCATCTTATCAAATTCATCTATGCCACAAATGCCTGCAATCACAGAAGAATAATACAGACAAAATTATTTTTCTTTGGTCAGATTCAAAGTTTTACACAATAGAAAGTGTTCCATAATAAAGAATCATTTTCATTTGATTTCAGCAGTTAAAATTATAAACTGCCATACAATGGCAAATTACTATTTGTTTTATAGCAAATAAATGCAATTGTCTTATTTAACTAAGTTTTGTATAGGATTTATTCATTCCCTATTTCCATAAGCAAAGCCCTACGTTGTGAGGGTTACAAAAATGAAGATATGAGTGACCCTCCTAGTGCTGAAGGATTTAAATTCCAACAGTGAGGTAAGATATATAATTCAAACCAGACATGGTGGCTCACGCCTGTAAACCTAGCACTCTGGGAGGCTGAGGCAGGAGGGTGGCAAGTTTGAGCCAACCTGTGTTAACTTAGCAAGACCCTATCTCAAAAAACAAAGAGTTGGGGATGTAGCTCACTGTAAAGGCACTGAGTTCAATCACCAGCACCACATACATGCACAAAAAAATATATATATTCAAGAAATATACTTCAAAAACCATGTGAGGTATGCATAATTATCTGTTTTCTGGAATGGGGGATATTTGTATAAAGGGAAATCTGGAAAGGTTTCAGGGGAAAGGTGCTATTGGGCTAGGTCTTCTTGGGACAGTGGGACACATGATTAAGAAGGCAAGCATGTTTTCTATCATCAGAAGACATCAAGGGCTCGTTCTTAATACCAAGACTGCCTATACACTTGCAGTGAAACCACTTAACCTCTTTCTTCTTCTTCTTCTTTTTTTTTTTTGGTATAGGGGATCGAACTTGGGACCTTGCACTTGCAAGGCAGGCAGCGGAACCACTGAGCTAAATCACCGGCCCCCACTTCACCTCTTTCAACCTAGCACAAAGTGTCACCGTTGACTGAGGCACTGTGTGCCAAGGATGTCGCATCTCCTCCACGAGTTAACACAGACTTCCTAACACACCCTCCCCTCAGAGATGCTTAGGGGAAATAACTGCTGATTAGGAGAGAGAAGTGCGGAGAGGGACAGGGAAAGCCCTGGTGTCAATGATTATCATTCCCCTTGGTCTCACCTTGATCGCCAAGTACCAGGGCGCCAGCTTCCAAAGCAAAATCACCAGAGGCACTGTCTTTTGAAAGAGTTACAGTCAGCCCGGACGTGGTCGTGGTGTTACCGCAGACGTACACACCACGTGGAGCAATGTTGCATACTGCCTACCAAACAAAAGCTTAGGAGAATCATGCTGAGGAAAAGAGAAATAACAGCTAAAGGCAAATTGCTCCAAAATGTTAGCTCTATGTCTAGTATTCTCCTAAAAGCTTTACTGTACAATCTGCACCATCACCGAAGAGGCAGGCATGATTATGTCCTGGCTTACTGTGGAAACCAAGGCCTACTAAGAACGAGGAGCTACAGGAGCTACACAGCTAAGGAGGAGGGAGGCCAGGAGCCAATCAAATTTGGGTAGTCTGACTCTGGAGTCTCAATACTTAACACAATTCCATGTCATGCTTCATTTTCAGGTTCAAGTAGCAAATCCTGAGTACCAGTTTTAATTTCAAAAGTTCCCATCCTTCTTTAAACATCAGGTAATAAGATGGCTTTGTGTGTGTTTACCTTCTGAGCAGATAAGGTATGAAAGAAAAGTGAACAGCACACAGTTAAATCACAGCTAGCTCTCGGGGGCCAAGCAGAACTGTTTCAATCCTAGCTCCACCACACACCAGATGTCACTCTGCCATCACAGTACTGCCCTGAGGAATAAATGCATAAATAAAATAGTCTATGCAGAGCACTTAACCTGGTACCTGACACATGGTATGCTGCTGTGCCCTGCCCAACTCCAGGGAATGGCACTCACTTCATCATCATGTCAGTGGTGTGCTGTGGACTTGTGCAGTACACACCCCAAGTGACCGTACGGTGCTGGCTCAGAAAACAGTAACTATCATTACTGTCATTAATTGCAACTCCCTGCTAGTCTTCTATTTTAGTACTGGGAATCGAACTCAGGACCTTGCACTTGCAAAATAGGTGCGATGCCCTGTTACATCCCAGTCCTGCTAGTCTTCTTGAAAAACCTTTACAGTTTTTCAACTGAGAAAATCAACTGAGAATGATTTACTAAATTGCTTACCAAATAGTTGTAAGAAAACAGGATTAAAAATAAAAACAGCTTATAATGCAGTGTTGCCTAATTTTAAAAAATCTGACCTAGGGGGATTTACAGGCAATATCCTGCACTGTTTAACATCTTTAATTTCCATTAATATTTCAGCTTCTATTTTTAAATTGATTCAAGAGTTTTAAAAGCATTGTTTCAGGTCTAAACAAAAATTAACCATGTCATTTCTTGATATTAACTTTTTCATTTTTCAGTACCATTAAATGTATTTTAGAACCATTTATCTGCCAAGAGATATTTCCTAAACAAAAAAAGATGTACTAGATGAAAATGGAACTTTTATGCACTGTGAATAATATATATAAATTCAACTGTAATACTAGTCTGTACAGGTAACCACTGGAAGTTAAGGCTTCCACCTCTAGTACACTAATCCAAAAGTCACATGGGCACACAGACACACACACTCTCTCTCTCTCTCTCTCTCTCTATATATATATATGTGTGTGTGTGTGTGTGTGT